CCTGCCAGTCCTGTATAACTATAGCACTGCCAGTTATATACATATACCTAATTGTATACTGATAATAGTATACTTGATACTTGATAATAGTAATAAACAACTATGTTACTGGTTTGTGTATTTACTATACTTTTTATTATTATTATTTGAGAGTGTACTGCTTTTGCTTCTAAAACAAAACGTTACCTGTAAAACAGCCTCAGGCAGGTTCTTCAGGAGGTATTTCAGAAGAAGGCATTGCTATTGCCCCTTGAAGAGCTTCTAGGGGACAATACATGGAGGTGGAAGACAGTGATATTGATGATCCTGACCTGTTTATGTCTTAATTTTTAACTTAAAAACGTTTAAATAGAAAAAAGCTTATGGAACAAGGATATAAAGAAAATATTTTTTTACAGCTGTAAAATGTGTTTATGTTTTAAGCTAAGCATTATGAAAAAGTCCAAAGTTAAAAAATAAAAAGTTTATAAAGTAAAAAAGTTACAGTAAGCTAAGTCTAATTTATTATTGAAGAAACAAAAATACTTTATAAATTTAGTGTGGCCTAGGTGTACAGTGTTTATAAAGTCTACAGTAGTGTATAGTAATGTCCTATGCTTTCACTTTCACTCACACCGATTCACCCAGAGCAACTTCTAATTCCTGCAAGCTCCATTCATGGTAAGTGGTCTCTACAGGTATAACATTTTTAATCTTTTATACTGTATTTTTACTGCATCTTTTATATGTTTAGGTATGTTTAGCTATACAGATACCATTGTGTGACAGTGGCCTACAGTATTCAGTGTGGTAATGTGCTGTACAGGTTTGTAACCTCGGAGCGATAGGCCATATCATAAAGCCTAGGGGTGGAGTAGGCTATACCATCTAAGTTTGTGTAAGTACGCTCTGTGATGTTCACATGACAGCAAGCATATCAACTAAGGATGCTTTTCTCAGAACATATGTTGTTAAGTGACGCATGGCTGTAATTCATGCATTAATTGCTTACCTGTACCCTCTATTTAGGGCTTAAAAAGTCAGATCTATCCATCTAAGATGCTTTTAAGTAACATTTACCTTAAAGAAATAGATGGTTCATTGGTTTAAAGAAAGAGACAGCTGAATTGGATGGGGAAGCCAGATTTTGACTGTATTTCTAAGAGGAGTTATTCTGTAATGTTTTGGTAAAAGAATGTCTATCTATCTATCTATCTATCTATCTATCTATCTATCTATCTATCTATCTAATTTGGCATCTATTCACTAATCTGTCTGTAATACAAATATTCTGAACACTTAAAAAGTGTAAGAAGGCTCTGTAGTGCAATGCATAGCACACTGAACTTTTTTGTTTCTATATTGGTTTACTGCAATTAAAAACTAATATATGTATCAAAGAAAATTCAGAAAATAAAGAAACATTGAGAAAGTGAAAGACTATTAAATCTCCCCAGGCTCATATTATTAACACAAAAAATCACTTTTAATATTTTGGTACATTTCCTTCAGGCTTTTTTGCCCTATGCATACATTTTCATCCATAAATGTAATCATCTTGTCGATGCTATTTTGTAGCAAGTTTTTTCTTTCACTTAATATATATACTATTTTTTCAAGTCTTTATAGCTATTGTTTTTCTTTTTTATTTCCTTGAGATTGGGTCTTTCTATGTTGCCCAGGCTGTACTTGAACTCCTGGGCTCAGGTGATCCTCCTGCCTCAGCCTCCTGAGAAGCTGGGACTTCAGGTGCATGCAGCCTTGCTTGGCGAAATATTATCTTTAGTGTTTTGTGTGATATAACACTGAGTGAGCACAGCCTACATGGTTTATTTAGCCATCACTCAGTGGTTGGATATTTAGGGTATTTCATCATTATTGTCTTTGAAAATTAAATAAAACAAAATTTGATGAAAGTCCAAGGTGGCCCTACACAGTGGCTGAATATATCCCATCAGTCTGTTACATTATTCACATGTAAAGGGAAAAACAACCCCCTAAAACTCTGCATCTGAGAGGGGTATATATTAAATTAAGCTTAAGGAAGTGCTTATGAACAGTAGAAAATGAGAGTTGGTAAATGGAGTCATTTTATTTCATAAAGGTGCCTCAGAGCTTTAAGCCCAAACCCCTACACTTTGAGTCACTTTGGATTTTGTGCATCTGTCCACGATGCACCGTGATTTTGTCTTATACAGTGTTCAGTGCGACGCATTAAATCTTTCTTCCTTCACAGTTATCAGAATCTGTGGAATAGGACCTGAGCAAACCTAGAAAAGTCTCTCTGCTTGTCTGTTTAGATTTTTGGTTTTTTTTTTTTTTTTTGAGATGGAGTTTCCCTCTTGTCACCCAGGTTGGAGGGCAATGGCGTGATCTGGGCTCACTGCAACCTCTGCCTCCCAGGTTTGAGCGATTCTCCTGCCTGAGCCTCCCCAGTAGCTGGGACTGCAGGTGCGGGCCACCACGCCTGGCTAATTTTTTTGTATTTTTAGTAGAGATGGGGTTTCACCATGTTGACCAGGCTGGTCTCGAACTCTTGACCTCAGGTGATCCACCCACCTTGGCCTCCCAAAGTGTTGGGATTACAGGTGTGAGCCACCGCACCTGGCCCTGTTTAGATATTTTAAAACAATCTTTCAATTCTGAGTAGAATAGTATTTGTATAATAGTTTTGAGTTGAAGGCAAATACTTTCAAAGAGTTCAGTTCTTTTCTTTTCAAAATGTAAGTTATAAAAATGCATGATTCTTCCTGAGGAGCCAGCTAGGCATCAGACTCTGGAGCCGGACAGCCTGGGTTTATTTCCTGCTCCACCACTTTCGGCTGGGTGAACTTGGGTATGTTACTTGACTTGCCTGGGTGTCAATTTTCTCATCTAGAAAATGGGAACAATACTATTCACTCATAGGTTTATTGGGCTGGTTTAAATAAGTTAAAACACAGTGGTAACTACTACTGTTCTCAACAGGTTCCTAAGGGTCTGCGTTTCTAGCGCTTTAGCACTTCAATGGCATTTATAATGTTCTGGACTATCCTTCACTGAGTGGTTTTTCTGTGAGTATTTCTATGAGTATTTCTTCCCCAATCAGTTTATGATGATGGTAATCATACTGGCCACCACTTTTGATGGAGTATTATAATACACACTCTACATGTATTACAAAATGTAAATCTCATTGCCTTTTATGAGGTATGCGTTTTCACTATTTTCTTTTTAGAAGTTTAGTAACTAAAGGTTGTAGAGGTTAAGTAACTTGCTCAAGGTCATAAAATTGCTAAATCTGGAACTTGGAACTAAATTCTAGTCTGGTGTATGTGTCACCACCCTGCTTTTGTAATTTCCTTTAAGGAAGGGACTTTTATGCTTTTTAGATCCCTTACAGATTTCAGCACAGTTCCATGAACAGAGTAGGTCCTCAGTAAGGTGTTTTTTTTTTTTTTTTTTTTTTAAATTTGAGATGAAGTCTTGCTCTGTCGCCAGGCTGGAGTGTAGTGGCACAATCTCGACTCAGTGCAACCTCTGCCTCCCGGGTTCAAGCAATTCTCCTGCCTCAACTTCCCAAGTAGCTGGGACTACAGGTGCACACCACCATGCCCGACTAGTTTTTGTATTTTTGGTAGAGACGGGGTTTTACCATATTGGCCAGGATGGTCTTGATCACTTGACCTCATGATCCGCTAGCCTCAGCCTCCCAAAGTGCTGGGATTACAGATGTGAGCCACTGCGCCCAGCCAGTTTTTTGTGTTTTTAAATGAATGAAGGTAGAAGTGATCCTGTGGATAGTAGAATTTTTTTCTCCAGTAAGATAACCAACAATACTGCTTTTTAATCAATGAAATTATGAGTCTTAGAATTTTGTTCTGCTTCCATATTACATCTATGAGAATGATGAATTTGTAATTATTTGTGTATGAAACTGGTTGTATTTCATGTGAAAAAAATGTACAGACCCTGTATTTGAGACTCTGATTTGAGAAAACCTGAATTAGCATTACTTCGATAACCACTGAAGCAATTTTAATTTAAATAAAGGATACAACTAATTCTGGATCTGTTTTTAGCTATTTCATTGACACACTTTTATTGAGCATATACATTGTGCAAAGCTCTCTGCAGGGGACTAAGGATTTAAGGATGAATATGATGGTTTCTATATGTAAGAGGATTTTATCCAATATCATGGGTTTAGCTACACCCTGATGCTAATGACCCCCATATATCTTTAACCCCAGCCCTTACCCTTTTGTCTTCATTATTCATCTCTGTGTTGGATACTTCCACATGGATGGCTCATAGGTCTCCAGACTGAATTATTATCTCATCCTCAGCACCCACTATGCCTCACTACATATTACATTCTTGTACCTGTTATATATTCCACCTCTGTTGGTGACACCACTGTCTAAAGTAACCATTCACACCACTGTCCAAACTTCAACCTTCAAACAAACAAAAAAACCACAAGTAATCTTTGATTCCATTTTCTCCCTAACGTTTTACATTTGGCCATTCACCAATCCTGCTGACTTTTTCCCCCTAAATATCATCAAGAACTGTGAAGGATTTGAGACTTTATCTTACTTGCAAATGAACTTGCCTGCCACAGTTACATGGATGCTGGCAAAAGACTAAGGATTCCTGGGTTAAAGACAAAGAACTTTATTAGTCATAGCAATAGCAATAGCCAGAGTGTTTCTCCAAGACCCAGCTCCCATAGGATGTCATGAAGACGGCCAGGTGACATCCATACATGCAGTGCATTGTGTTACAGGAGAGGAATTCTGAACTTAAGGAAACCAAATCTTTTATATTGGGTAACAAAGATACTTCACCTTTGCTCCAGAGGGAGATCATTTCTTCCAAGGCTGTTCTCCATATAAACATCTTTGAAAAGTTAGTCTGGAACCAAGGGCAGCCTGTGCTTTGCTCATGAGATGTGCAGAAACCGAAGGGACTCATGGAGAATGTCTCCCAACAAATACTTCTTGCATCTGTTCCCTCTGCTCCTTCTTGTTTTTTTTTTTTTTTTTTTTTTTAATCGAAGGTCCCTTACTGCTCCTGCTTCCGTGAGTAGCAGTGACCAGGGGAAAAGGGAGAGGAACCAGCTGTCACAGGGAGGGGTCATCTCCACAACATTCCATTTATACACAGAACTAAACAGACAAACACAGAGTCACTACTGCGGTTAGAAGTTGGCAGCATAGGAAGGGGGAGGAACAGGTGGGGAGTGGGGGTGTTGTTAAAAAAAATACAGGCCACGCCACAACTGGGGTGCCTGGGGAGAATTTGGTTTGCTTCCACCCAAGAGGAATCAGAAGATCAAAAGCAGTTTGGGAAGACCAGAACCATCAGGGATGGAGGGAGGAGGAAAATCCAGGGGGTGGGGGGTCTGTTTGGCAACTGGGGTGAAGGGATTGCACTCCCTCTGCTGGGATCCTCCCCAGCCCTTCAGGTTTGAGAGGAAGGGAACAGCCTGCAACCCCCAACAGTAGATGTGGGGCTGCCAGATGCTCCAGGCAGGGGACCAGAAGGGGCTCACAAAGGCTTGTCCTCCAGGGAGATGACCGCACTGCCCCCCAGCTTCTCTGCCAGGGTGCAGCGGTCCTTGACCTCCTCATAGCAGTTTGCGTGTAATTCATGCTTGACCCCTGTCAGGTTCTTCTTGATGGCGTCCTTGGAGCTGGAATAGGTCATTTTGCTGTTAAGGGGCGCAGACTCAGGGACCCAGAAGATAAACACCAGGTCCTCCTTCTTGCTCTCCTTGGTCCTGTAGGCTGTGTCATAGAGGGCGTAGTGGCAGTCCTTATCTGGCAGCATCCTGACAAAGGTGGCACAGGGGTTGTCGATAGTCTGGCCCACATTGCCCACCAGGATCTTCTTGATGACGTTCTTCTTGTCCTCACCAAGGCAGAAGAGCACTGCCTTCTTGTGCTTCTTCACCTCCTCTGGCATTGAAGACTTACGCACCTTCATGCCGTTGAACATGTTCATGACACCATCACACAGCCACACCGGAGGCCATGTTTCCGGAAGCGAAAAGGAGAGGGCTCGGAGAGCCGCAGAAGACGAGAGCTCTGCAGTCGCTGCCGGGACCCGACTGCCCTCTGCTCCTTCTTTGCACCATTAGATGGACATTGCTCATAGGAAGACTGCAACAACTTTTTAGCTGATTTCCCTAAGTCTGGGTGGGTCCCTCTTCATATCAGTCCTCCACACCTTGCTGAAGTAGCCTCCTGAGACACAGATCTGACTCTTTCCTGCTTAAAGCCATTTACTGCCTGCCTGTTGTCTATAGGAAAGGCCCAAGCTCCTTAGCATGATACCAAAGGGATTTTCAGACCAGCCCTTGCTGATCCGTCTAGACTTAGGAGGGCAGCATATCAGAGTGATTATCTCCTTTACTGCCCCAGTGGCTTAACCTTTGTAGCCTCGTTTCCTCATTGCTAACATTAGGATGATAAAACCTACCTCATGGGTTGGTGAGAATTAATCAGCTCACACAGGGTTAGCCCTCAGTAAATGTTGGCTGGTATGGTTGTGTTTTTCCACTCTCTGCCTCACACTTTAAGATCAGGCTACATGGTTTTCTGCTCACTCTGTGTCCCTTTTCACCATGGTTAGTGCCTTTATTCCTGCCACCCACTCTTCTTGCAATGTCCTCCAAACCCTATTGCCAGGCTTCACGCTGGTTAGGCACATCCTCTTCCTTCTCTTGGATGCTCCATGCACATGTCGGCCATTGAGCTATAAATATCTACTAATAAGTCAGTTACTGCTGCTAGACTATTAACTTTATGGGGATGGGGGTTGTTTTATTTGTCTTTGTGTTGCTAGCACATAGCATGTGTTGAAGAAAATGGTGGATGAGTACACGAAAGAACAAAAGGAATTCACAGTCTGCTAGGGTATTTGGGGTCTAGGGATGAAGGGTGGAAGGCAGCTAAGTAGCTTAATAATAACAGGTGAGAGAATCTGGGTAAAGTTGGTGCTGAGGTGAGAATTAGGCCCTATAGGAGTCCAGTGTAGGGAGTTTGCTTGTTGAGTGTGGTGCATGTGGTGAGGCAGCCTGTTTAAAGTTACCTCCTCAATGAAATAAAGCAGCCCCTTCTAGGCAATCTTAATTACTCCCTTTCCTGAAAGAATCTATTGCAATTGGAAGGTCATGCAATCTGCCTTCTTGTAAGATCTTCAGTTCCTCGGAATACAATGAATTCTCTATTACCTGGAGGAGGGGGTAGAAAGGAGCTTCTTTTTAATTAAATTGTCTCTGCAACAGAAAGTGACTTTTTCCCGCCTTTTGAAGTCTTCCAGTTGTCCTCAGCCTGGCTCAAATCACTCTCCTTGAATTCATTGTTACATTCATTAGTGCACCCTGCATTGTGAGTTATAATTTAATGTGAGCATATCTAATTCCCTAATGAGATGGAGACTCTTTGGGAGTTTATGTTTTTTTTTCCCTGAAATGTCTAATGTCATACTTTTGAATTAAGAAGGCCTTCTACATATATTTATAGACTGGGTGAGTTTCTCCATACATATGTTAAGAACTTTCAAATAATTAGAGCACAGCCTTGATTTCAGAATGCCAATGATCTTCTCCAGGGCTTCAGCTTCCCTGAAAGAACAGCTACTCAGGGCCTATTATTAAATGTTTAAGGTGCCATTTTTTATTAACTTTGAAATAAAAACAAGTATTTGGAAAATATTGATAAATGAACAAACAAAAAAACCTGAAGTAACCCTACTAGTAGTTGTGATAACTACCATTATAATAGTATTTGGAGTATGTCTCTATAATCTGTCTTCCTTGGCTTCATGTTTTTGCTTCTCTTTCTCTTTCAATGAGTGAGGTCATCTTTTATCACTCATCTGGCAATCTGCTTTCTTCTCCTTAACATCAGTAACATCAGTAGATATTTATTAAAAGTGATGATGCTGGAGAATTTCTTTTAGGTTCCTGTTTCAACCCGTAACCCACTGTTTTGCCTTTTTTTTTGCCACTGCCTGCCTTTTTTTGATTTCTGTTTGTCTCTCTGGATTGACCCACTATTGTGTTCTGATCTCTGATACCTGCATGCATCTTCATAGTAACTTCCAACTTTTGGAAGTGTCTGCTGTGCCCCAGATACTTGTATGTATTTTACCTGCTTTAAATATCTATTTTCGGATAGACTGGATATTTGTAGTCTCCATCCACAGATGAGGAATTTGGTGTAGAGATTTAGTAATTTATAAAAGATCATGAAGCTTAGATGGAGCCTGAACTCGTGTTTTTATACTCAGCACCTCCTCTAGTATGTGAAACTGCCATCTTTAGCTTCAAACTTCTTCTGGAATACTAGTTTTTGGGTGCCATGTCTAATCAGTTTTCAGCTCTACAGTATTCCTTGAAGGGCACTGCAACCCACACCCTGGGGCCAGCATAGTGAATTTTATATTTTTTTATATTTTTTGTTTGCGAGAGAGAGAGACAGAATGTGTGTGTGTGTGTGTGTGTGTGTGTGTGTGTGTGTTTGAGAAATCAGCTGTTGTTCTTGCTTTCACTCCTCGTGATGAGGCCTGCCCCTCACATCTGTTTTCAGCCCCTGTTCCTCAATACCAGAGTTATTTTCTATTAACTCAATGCACCTTTTCTTTGTAACTCTTGTCAATTTTCTCTCCAGCCACCTGCACAGTCTCTGGCTTGCTCTCAGGCTGTAAGTTCTTTGTATACTTGCTGTTTTCGATAACCTCAGCTCAAGATTTAATGTCAAGGTGGGGGCCCTATTAAAGATGCCATGAATCATCCTTTCTTTGTTTGAAGATTTCCGTGTTGGCAAGTGGGCAGATAGAAGTAGCTGTAGGTTTCCCAACCAGATGTACTGGTAGCTGAGATGCGGGCATTCAGCTGAAGTACATTCCTATCATTATTTGGCAAAGAAAGAGCCACTGAGATTAAGAGCATGATCCTTGCTTGTGATCTGGCTTCATCAACGGAATCATAGAGCCTCTGTGTTGGAAAGGGACTTAAAATCATCTGCAACTGCATGGCTCGATACTTGAGGGAACTGAGGCAATAGATAAAGGAAGTGATGTAACGTTATAGAATCCTAAGCCTTCAAGGGACTTTTGACATGACCTGACTCTGCGCTCTTATTTTATGAGGAAGAATAGTGAGGCCTCGAGAAGCTCACTAACACTCCTAATGAGGCACAGCATGTTACTGCAGAGCAAGGACTCTACTGACTACAGGACATGGGCCCTGGAGGTGAAGTCGCTAAGGGGGATCTGTAGGATTTGGCTGGTTACGAGAACTCCCCGACTGTCTCCTCCAGGCTGGCTTCCATGGGCCTCTGTTGAACTATCAGTCCGGTGTTCTTGCCTCTGTCCCCACAGCCCTGTGGAGGTCTTCTTCCCCCTGAAAGATGGTGACTGCCTTCTCTAGAGTGGTGGGAGTGAGGGAAACAGCAAGGGGAAATTGGGAAACAGGAAGCCAGGGAGAGGAGCAAGCGGTGTTGGGGCTGTACATGCTGGCTCCGTGCCTTGGTGTTGTGTGTTTCTAGAGGGTTTCAACTGTGTAGTAAAGACAGAACTTGGGGGGACATTCTCCCTGTGGTGGGACAGCAGTGTTCACAGCCTTCACAAAGTATTCCCCGCAAGAACTATTCATCCTTCACGGCCGACTTCCACCATAGCAGTTCAGTCTTCTGCTGTTTCTTCTGGTACCAGCCTATAGATTGGGCAAGGAGAAAGATCAGGTTTGTAAAGAGATCTTTCTGGTCCTTCCAGTAATAAAGCCCCTTGGACAAGGGCCAGGGAGATTCATCTCCCAGAGACTCATGTGCTCTAGGTGGTGGTAGAGGCTTCCTGCCAGAAGGATCTGAGGCAGAGGACGTGGATGGTGCCATGCTGGCGTCTCTGTGCATCTGGCAGCGCAACAAAGGACTTCTGTCTGCCCCGTGAGGCTGGGTCGATAAAACCCACTTCAATTGAAAGCCACCGCACTTTAGCAACTTGATAATTAAAATTCTAATATGTGAATTAAAGAAAACAAGGGGCTGTGTTCCTACCATTTTAAAATACAGCTGCAGTGATTCCACTATTGTTTCCTTTGACGGAGCTGTGGTTTTCCTACACCTTTGTTTGAGGCTTTGATTCAGATACGCTCCCTGCGGCTGATAAGTCTCGTGTGTCTACTCACTCGTTAGATGGTGCGTGGGGATGATTCTTCTGTGATGTGGAGAATCAAAGATCGTGTCTTCAAGTTATGTGAGGTGGGCTAAGTGGCATCTCATCAAGAGCAGAGGTAAAAACAAAACTCATGGAAAAGGTACTTCCTGACCTCCCTTTTTGTTTCCTGAGTGATTTAAAACAATAAAGGCCAAATCGAAGAGAAAACCGATGCAGCCGATACCTGGACCTACAGATTGATTTATTTCCGTGAACACTCTGGGAAAATGGCTACTTGTCGCTTTCTGTTATTAATAAAGAGGTCACTTTATCATTAGGCCTTTGAATCTGTATTTAATGGCTAAAGCAGATGGTTATAATTTCTGACTTGGTGTGGCCACCTTATTAATAAAAAAGAACTGATGGAAACAAAAAGGCGTCTTCATTTTTAACTCCAGAAGCATAACACAAATGCTTTCCAGTCTTTCTTTGTGTGGAGAGCAGACCGAGTGACTGCAGTAAGATCCTGTTACACATTTGAAAAAAGACTTTGCAGAGTGGAGGTAACTCAGTTTGAATCCTTCTTTTGTTAAACTTTAAAAGAACACTATAAATATATGCCCCTTTCCTTGAAGAAGGTATTTCGAAGGAAGCTTCAGGATTATATTTAAAAGTCAATTAATATTTTAATAACATAAGGAAACTAAAAAACTAATTGATTTCAAATAGTGGAGGCCTGTGGTACTTTCTAAAATTATTCTTTTTGCTTAAACCACTATGAACTGCTTTTTTGGATTTAATTACTAGGCTTAGATGAATGTGCCATGTATCTTATTTTGGTTATTTTAAAATTCATTTGGAATTAAAAAAAAA